CACACATTTTTCAATAAAATAATATTACACGCAGATCAAAAAATTTTTCTTATTTTTTAACCACACATTTTTCATCAATACACTATTCAAGAATGCATTATTATCAAAATAATGTGACTCAAACACCTCTTTGAAACATTTTATGATAAATAAATATATTTTCTTTTTGAATCTGCCATTTTATAGCCGAGCTCAATATTGCCCAATAAACAAATTGGGCTCGATCCATTGATGAACTAGCAGAACTTGGGCTGGTTCACTGATCAAGAAGCCAGGCCTCGTCAGTACGATCCCATGGCCACTCTGTTCTAAATATAACATCAATGGAAGAGAAAAAGGGCAAATTCCCAGCCCCAAATTCAACAGAAGCGTAAAAATGGATCAATCGGAAAAAGAATCCATAAGAGCAGCATCGGAAGAAATTTCGAGAGAGCTCAAAACCCTAGTTGATTCCCAGGATTTGGATGCTGTCAAGCAATCCCAACACCTCATGTATGTATATAAACATACACACTTGTTCTCTGTACGTACGATGCATGTATATTATACTTTTTTCTAATTGATTTATGTTTCCATTTCTCCCAAAAATAGATTGGGAAGGTTGCAGGATAGTAATGCAGTATTATCCCACTTTAATGATTATTCGGCGAATTGCTTTGCCGAAGTTTCTCCAGATTTCTCCAGGAATACCCGCGTATTACGAACTATGAAATCGGACCTTGATTACATTTTTATGAAACTGAGGTATTAACTCTGAATGTTCATTTTCATATTTTGATGCAAAAAACAACCTTGTTATGTATTAGAACTGAATTGAAGTCAAAATCAGAATCTGTTATTGATCAAAAGTCACGAAAATGGATCTACAAATACATTATAAATAGTCGCCCAATGAGAAAGAGAAAGCCAGCTGTCAAACTAAAGTGAAGTCAGTAAAACTAACTGCCTAACTAGCTAACTTCCTTCATAACTATATGCAAAATACGTATTGGTTCTAATACTCCCCCTCAAGATGTGCTGTAAATATTCTTACACACATCTTGGATAACACAAAGGATTAAGAGCAGAAGCAAGTAAAGGCATCAGCAAGTTGATGTTGTGATCAAACTGGAAGAAGTTTCAGTACCCTAGCTGCAATCTTATTGCGAACAAAGTGGCAGTCCATTTTAATGTGTTTCGTTCATTCGCGGAAGAAAAGGTTGGTTGCAATTTGAATTGCAGCATGATTGTCACAATAAAGAATGGCTGGAGATGCAACAATGACCTGAAAATCCACCAACAATTGATCGATCCAAATTATCTCACTTATTGTGGCCGCAAGGCTCTATATTGAGCTTCAGCTGATGAACAAGATATTATAGGTTGTCTTTTAGATTTCCAAGAGATCATGGAGTCACTAACAAAAAAGCAGAAACCAGTGGTGGATTT